ATATTTTCATACGCATAGAAATAGATACGTTAGATTTTTGAGGTGGTTTTTCAGTCTGTTTTATGGTATGATTTTAATTATTTATTTTAAACATTTATTATTATAGTTTGGTATGAATGTGGTGTGAATGTCGTCGTTTAAATAAATTGTTTGTTGATAATGCACTTAATAAATTTAATTGTTTAATGTTTATAATCTTATGTCTTCTTTGCGAATGGTACATTTATAAAAGGAGTTGAGCGAATTATTAATTCTATGAAAACAATTTCTAGCAGAACCGCTAGCGTTACAGCATGTTTAAAATAATATCAAATGATTAATTGAAAACTTGCTTTTAAAGATTTTGACTTTTCTGCCAGAGGAAAATCACTTGAAATATGTTCCAGCAAAAAGTGAGGAAGGTCAGTTATCCACAATGTATATCGCCTGTGATACATCACAAAACAATGTTTCTGATAAAAATGAAAGTAAATATGAGTGTACAACCAAAAATACTGACCTAGAACAATCTAACAAAGCAGAGGAAAAACATACAAAAAACTTGCTGCATGGTACTTCTCAGGGAAATAGTGCTGCAAAATGTCCAATCTGCAGGGAGCAGTGTCTACAGACAACGGGGCACAACACGAGACAGATAACAGAAGACGACTCCGATCATTATCCCAACTGCTGCCCTGTGTTGAATTTCCTAGAGGACAAACCCCCAGACTTTTTTGATTCCTTTTTGTTGACCAAGAAAGAGCTGAAGAGGTTTCTTGTCATGGACATTGTTTTCCCATGTTTGAAAAAGACAACATGCTTCACTAAAAGGTTAGATGTTTTCTAAAAAATATTGGATGTCTTGGATTATATTTCTTTCTTTTTTCAGTCATTATGTTTTTGTTATCATTAATTCTAGATATGGTCATTTTATGGAAGGGGCGGGGTCCATTTTCCAAATGTCTCAGAATATTTATGTAAGTAATTATATTGCTGATAATTATTCAAACCATGCCTCTGTTTGATTTTACAAGTGGATACCTAGAAAATGACAAATTTAATTCTTTTCTTTGTGTCGGTAAGATACTTATTGAATTTCGATATCAGATGATATGTATTGAATTGTATTGGTAAATTTATTTATGATAGATAAAAAGACTTCCTTATCAATAATACTGATACAATGTAATGAGATGATATAAACAGAAAAAAATATATTTTTGTGCATGCTCTGACTAAGGAATCTGGATGTGACCAAGTAGTTCACTATCACACCATGGAGCATCGACTAAAGGGTCAATGACGCGATGGTGAGATATCACAATGACATTGATACAATGGCACAACCATGCGATGACAGTGGTAGCATGATGTAGCAGTAGTGAACACACTTCATAGTCATAGTACCATCCTCATCGAACCATCTTGTTATTGCTATCGCACAATTGTGCTATCACTTCATTGTGCCATCGCATCATCATCATCACATTGTCACTCCATCGCATTATTGTTGTCATGCTATCGCACCATTGCTCATCGCACTATCAACCCAAACCTCGATGGTGCAATAGTGTGATAGTGAACTACTGGCCCTTTCCAAATTCCATAACAATTAAAGATAAACACTGTGAATAAGAATTTCAACCAAATTAAATAAGCATTAATTACAGTTTCATGGAAACCAGTCAGATATATATTATTCTTACAAGTTAAACCTTCAATGAATAAAATAAAACACTGTAGTATGAAAATTTTTGTTGTATTCTAGAATATGAAAGAAGCCAGTGAATTAAAAGATAGAACTCAAGAACTGAAGAACAGAGCTGATTGGACAGATGAGGATTATGAGGTGTTGTCAAGGTTACGACTGCGTTACTTCACTCCCAGAGAGATAGCCAACTTCCTGTGCTTTCCATCCACTTACGGTAATTTAGTGGTGGAAATTAACCATTTATTGCCAAATTAATTACCAGGACCATTGACTCTTTTGTAGCATATTACTTATCCATCAACTAAATAACTAGACTTTTAGGTCAAGGGAGCTTTTCTGATCACATTTTGTCCAGCATCTGTCTGTTCATCCATATAGCTGTCTCTTCATCCATCCATCTGTAAACTTTTCCCTTTTTTGTCTTCTCAAGAACCACATGGTCAATTTCCACAAAACTTGCTGCAGAGCATCATCGAGAGATTATAATAAATTAGTGGAAAAAATGGCACCATAAAGAAATCTGATGGTGAATTTCAAGAACAATTGGGCCAGAAAAGATGAAACATGTGAAAGCTTATTTACATTATGTAGATCCAAATTTGTTCAAATTATAACTCATGGGGTAAGGACAAAGCCACCATAAGATTATTTTTGTTTGGTATACTCCTATCCATATTTTTCAAGGTGGGTAGGTAGGTAGCAGCATAAATACCTTTATTATATAGTCTATAAATAGCCCCTATATAATCTATACAAATGAAAACAGTTCATAACACTACATATTCACCGGATTTGAAGCCGTATTCACCGGAGGGTCAATGTGCATGCAGTGGGATTGTGACATCACAATCAATACCTCAAACAACGTTGAGCACAATGGTTGCAACGGTCGGAGCTAGCTGAATATTTGAACAGGATAAATTGTTTTGCAAGTCTATGGCAGGATTATTTTCTTAACATTTCGATGTATTACACACAAGAAAGGAAAATACGGAAGATAAAGGTTGTAATCTGGACATTTGATTATTTTTCTAAGACAGAAGTTCATGTATGAAAATGGAATTTTCAGGTAGCCTTCAATGTCTTATTCAATCAAATTCTGACTATATAATAAAAGAATTATGGACTCTTTCGATGGTGAATATGGTTTGTTATTCACCAGAAAAATATCAATATTGATCTTGGCTTCGCCTCGGTCAATATTGATGTTTTTCTGGTGAATAACAAACCATATTCACCATCGAAAGAGTACATAATTGTATAGTAGCTGTGTTACAACGTTTATTTATGTGTTAATTTTAATAAAAGATTGATTTTTCTTTCCATTGTAGATTTTCCTACGGATTTATCTCGAATTCAGCTGTATAGGACTTTAGGTAATAGTCTGAATGTCCATGTGGTATCTGCTCTTATACAATTAATGGTTAAAAATCCAGAAATAATGAAAACAATGGAATTCTGAAACCAGATCCACTCATTATGTACAATATGATACATAGAACATTTTAACTCTGGAAGAGAAAAAATCTTCAGATTTATTACAAAATCATAAGAAATGCACATATTTTTAGTTACATGTACAAGATCAAAAATATGTTTAACTGTAAAATTAAACAGTAAATTCTGAAAATGCCTTGTTTGTCTGTGAATTACTACCATAAATGAATAATGTGATTATTGTGTACCAATTTTCAGTTTTTAATGCTTAACCTTTAGGTCTAATTAGGTCCCATTGTTTGGCTAGCGCAATCAATTATCTTCTAGATCTCGATGGACACATGAATGAACAAGAGGCCCAGGGGCCACATCGCTCACCTGAGCACTATGCCTAGGAAAAAGCAGAAATCAGTTCAGTCTTGAAAGGTTGAAAAGTTTAAATAAAAAAGTGGTTCGGGGGGGGGGGGTGTCATGAATTGAACAAATTTGAATCTACATTATCTGAGGATGTTCCATTTAAATATGACCAATCATGGCTTTGCTGTTCTTGAGAAGAAGATTTTTAAAGATTTTTCCTATATATTCCCCTGTAAAACTTTGATCGCCCATTGATGCCCCACCCGACCCCCGGGGGTCATGATTTGAAAAAAAACTTGAATCTACACTATCTGAGGATGCTACCATTTAAATATGACCAATCATGGCTTTGCTGTTCTTGAGAAGAAGATTTTTAAAGATTTTTCCTATATATTCCCCTGTAAAACTTTGATCGCCCATTGTGGCCCCACCCGACCCCCGAGGGTCATGATTTGAAAAAAAACTTGAATCTACACTATCTGAGGATGCTACCATTTAAATATGACCAATCATGGCTTTGCTGTTCTTGAGAAGAAGATTTTTAAGGATTTTTCCTATATATTCCTAAGTAAAATTTGATCGCCCATTGTGGCCCCACCCGACCCCCAGGGGTCATGATTTGAACAAACTTGAATCTACACTACCTGAGGATGCTTCCACATAAGTTTCATATTTTCAAGCACAGTGGTTCTTGAGAAGAAGATTTTTTAATGATGCCATTAATTTTTCACGAATTCTTAATTATCTCCCCTTGGAAGAAGGCGTGGCCCTTCATTTGAACAAACTTGAATCCCCTTTACCCAAGGATACTTTGTGGCAAGTTTGGTTGAAATTGGCGCAGTGGTTCTTGAGAAGAAGATGAAAATGTGAAAAGTTTACAACGACAACAACGACGACAGACAACGGACAAATTTTGATCAGAAAAGCTCACCTGAGCCAAAGGCTCAGGTGAGCTAAAAAAGACAAGCCATTTTTTCACACTTCACGATAATTACAAATGAAATTTTTAATATCAATTAATTCATGTTTTAATAGTTCTACAGAAATTGCATTGGCACAGCGAGTCGGACATCGTAAGTGTATCGTAATCATGTATTTTTATACAGTGTAGCAATAGATATGCGATAAGAAACACCCAAACTTTCCACTCAAACAAAATATTTTACCACTTCAATGCGCTTCATTGAATATTGAGTTGAACCACGTGTTCAGTGTGAAATGTAAACATATAGGTGTCAAGTTAATGTTGCTGTTCATGCAATGAATGGTCAATTGTGGGTGGTAAGATCCTCTGTGCGCATTAATAACAAAAGCCATATATTAAGGTAAACAAAGGTTTGTCATATACATTTTTTTCTACCAGTGCATCGGGCGATTTTGAAAAAGGTAACACTACTAAGGCTATTGTTATTTGACTTAACACATGGTCATTTGTGAATGTCTCTCTGACGTCTTATATATAGCATACAAGCCTGTTACTCGTTAGCATTCCTTAAACATTTACATCACTGGTCTCATGGGCGTCGGCACCACAGCACTTCTGATCACCGTATTAGCTCAGAAACTGGAACCATCTCGAGCAGAAAAATATGTGTACAATTTCGTACTAAAGGCACAGTTGGATAAAAGAAGGAAGACGGCATCCGCTGATGCCATTAAGAACTGGTTTCAATTATGTCGTCTGCGAAGGAGTAATAATATCATTAACATGGAATATATTCGAGTTCACGGAAAACTACTACAAGCCATAAACGCCATGCAGGAAGCAAAACACAAAAGAGATTCCACTGGAGAGTCCACTATTGGTTTCATCGAGATAAGCAAAGGGATGAGTGACGTGGAGAAAAAGACGGAGGAAGTTCAGCGATCCATCAGGGACCTGAAATCAGACCTTGTGTACATGCAGAGAATGTCCAGAGATCTGCAATTCAGATTTAATGATATATACACAGTCTTGCACGAAATAAACCAAATTAAGACGATTCATTTTAATTTTTTTTATGTGTGACATTCTATAGTAAAAACACCACAAGTTTACGTTATAGAATAGAATAGAATTTATTTCCAAATTAGGGCCTCGAGAGGCATGGCATATAACAATTATGATTACAAGTAAATACTTGCATGTATAACACACATCAATACAATTTACATGTAACTAATTAGCTCATTGTTAAGTTTGATAGTAATATAATGATATGATGACTTTATATAAAGTAACTTAGAGAAACAACTCATTGTTCAGTTTGTATAATCTATTCTGATAACTATACACACAAGTTGAAAGGAAAAAAATGTGTAAAAGGTTAGTAAACTAATCATAATTTTTTTTTTTTTTACATATTAACATTTAAATGCAACATAGTGAATGTAATGAGTAGAATTTAAGTTACATCAGTGGTGTGTAGTTTTAAGTACACAGATCCCCTGATCATAAGAGATAGAGTCATATTATGCTAAAAAAAAACTTGTTCAGGCACATCTAAATTGACAAGGATAGTGGCAAAGAAACAAGTTAAAAATCAGTAGATAAATGATAACATATACATGTACAAAGATAAAAATAGCAAGAAGTAGCAAGAGGCGGTGCTAAAGGACATCAATTGGTCCACTTTTACTTGGAGCAATATTCTACTGTTACATATATTATGGACAGTGTCACTGTCTACAAGATTAAAATCAATGGAGTGAGTAGAGGGTCAGTTTTTATTGATTGTCATAACTGATTTAAGTTTGTAAGGTTGGTCGAAAACAAATACAAGCAATATTTAATATTAGATTTTTGATTTCATTGCCTGAAAGTAAGTACTTAAACTTGAATCCCTCAACCTCTCTTTAAAAAGCAAACTGAATTTTTCTTGTTGTGTAGAGGAGAAATGGTTTTTCCAATCACCTACTTCTCCTGTAAGTATATCAAGCATTACGATGATTAGTAACCTACTGAAACATAAAAAAGTTAATATTCAGAAACATCAAAAAACTTCTCATCGATTCGATTTGGAAAACCCTTGTCTTTTATGACAATTACATGTATAAAGTATCGCCATAACACTGATTCAACATTTTGCTATTGACCTTGACCAGCAAAAGAACACCTTTCCTTATATTTTGATTTTCGGGCTTATTTTGCTTACCTTTCCTGTACATGTATCCAAATCTTTTTGATTTCTTGCGCTCTCTGACTTTAAAAATGTTGCATTCAGATGCAATTCGAGAAGCAGTTTCCTTGTCACATGGTATGCTCAAATATTCAGCAATCTTTCTTACACACTCTACTTCATCCTAAACATAACACTCTATACATAAAAGGCCCAAACAACTCCCAAAGAATTAATGTTTTCGAATAGGATGTTTCATAATATATGTTAATTCTTTTAAAACTAAATATCTTTCTTACCAATCATATTTCTGTTACAAACAACATATCATTAATGATTTAAAACATCTGATACTACATTTAAATTCCATCAATGAAAAAAAATCAGAAAATCATGGCATCATGAATGTTAGTTGTGACATAAATGGCGATGTCACAATTTTGAATATTTTTCAAAAATGTTTAATTTTAAATTGATTAACTGAATTGCCAAGATTTAATTATTACCAATATAAATCGCCCTAAATCACCCAGAAGCTGGTGAAAGAAAATATTGCAAAAGGAAATGGAGCCTTCTAGGATGCCATTTTAGAAGGCTATTTCATGAAAATGAAGGATAAAACCAGAGACCTCGGAATGGAATACTCGGAAGTATCTCGTTTAATCTCACATTTATAACCCGAACCAGAAGCTTTTGTATCCCATTCAAAGTCTTATTATGAATCAAGGCAATTTTCGAGAAATAATTGAGTGGTTTACAATAAAGAGGCTCGACCAGAGACGTCTGAAACGATTAATTTGACAAGAAAAAAGCCTTTCGAAGCGACTGATATCATTTTAAAGTAAATTAATGATTGATATATTAACAAATACGAGCTTGAAGCGGTGATGCCTGAAATTGAGTTAGGTACCTTGTGGAAAAAATAGGTAGGGGGTGCCCCGTATACGAAACAAGTGCCTGTGGGCTATTTACAAAGATTGTGGCCCGCGTGGCGCAGTGGGTAGAGCGTCTGCTCTAGAGTCGCGGAGTACGGAGCTGATCCTAACGTCGCGGGTTCGAATCCACTGTAGGACGTGGAGACCTGCCCTTCGGACGAGACCGTACAAACCGAGATCCCGTGTCGCAGTAGGTATTGGCACGAAAAAGATCCCTCACTGCTCTATGGCCCCTTATTGCCGAGTATAGGTATAAATTTGCAGCCCTACACCGGCAATATATACGCCACGTCTCCATATGAGTGAAAAATTCTCGAGAAGGACGTTAAACAACAAACAAACAAAACAAAGATTGTATGAATCTGAAACAATAGGGCGCACGTTGTGATATATTGACCAAAATCTTACAGCCTTCATCTCTTCATATCGCAGTACTAAAACGTTGCCGGACTTGCAGAATTTCTCCCATTGAAGTTCATACTGGCACCATTCCCCGTATATGAAATCTGTGGAAATTATGAATAAAAAATGGTTCAACAATGACTAAAAACCAACGCTGTATTTTTACCGTTTGAATGGGGAGTGTTCGGTGAGTATATATGGGGTAGTAAGATATTTCTGTAAAAGTTCAGAAAAGAAATTAAAACATTACGGATATTAGTCCATTTGCATTGCACGTTTATCTGACACCTACTGCCTGACATAAAATTGGAAAGATGCTCGTTCCAGTCTGTGGTCATGTACATGTAGTCCCTGAAAAATGGTTCATTCAAAAAGTGGTAGTAGGCCGATACAGCTATGTCCCTGGGATCGCGGATAATGTGGACTATCTTCCTACCGTTTTTGATATGATCCTCTGGCAGAAAATGAACGGGCAGGTGCGTGTAAAGAATTCGTGGGGATGGTAAAGAATCCATACGAGATAAATTGGGTATTAGGTCAAGAAAAGTGAGTTCCATTCGAGGGAATTTCGCTTCGTGATTATTGAGTAATCTACACAGAATTTCATGCAGCCAATGACTTCCTGTGAATAAAATAACGTCATGACAGATCTGTTAAATCAGTTGATCTAAAATTATAATCACTTACTATCAAACTAGTATTAACCGAGAAACATATAAAATAAATGTTAAAGTATATAAGTATATATATATAACGCTAATTTTGACGTACAGGTAGGCACTTAAGGATAAATAACACAAACTTTTTTTCCCCCAGAAATCAACAATATATTATATAGATTTATATTCATTTAGGTAACCTGAATAATGTTTGCCAGGGTAATTGTGAAAATTTTGCAAGATTTTGTAATAATGTTAAAACGTGTGCAATTTTTTTTTTTTTTTTTTAGATTTATATAGAAAACGGCATAAAGTCGCATTGTTTCAGAACTAAAGAAAACTTAAAACTTCTTTACATTTTACTGATATGTTATTTATTTCATTTCTATTCAGAATCATTCAAAAAATATAGATCAATCTGAACAATCACAATTACACTTGTACCTCTAATTTGTATTTCCCGCGTTTTGTCCCTAAGCCCCTTATTTACCCATAAGTCCTTGCAAAATAGCTTAGCTGACCAGAACAATCGAAGACTGGTCATATCAGGCAAAGAAGCGTAGCTGCAGACAAGTTTTTAGTCCTACTGGTCAGAGACCAGAAGACCTTAAGCGATAGTAAGGTGTCCGTCCCTCTGATTGAGACAATTTCTCAAAACGCTACTCCTCCTACAGTTTTGGTTTGATTTCAATATAACTTGGCACACAAGTAAACTACACTAAAATACATAATTCTATATATCGGTTTTTGATTTTGATGAACGGTGTTGCCATAGTTACTAACACTAGAAATTTATGTGAATTACATTCAAAACGCAACTCCTCTTAGTCTTATGTATCCTTAATCCATTGGAGCTCACCAGAAAAAAAATACAGGCACGTAGTATGGGGGGGGGGGGGGGTTGCCTCCTTCTACATTTTTTCAAACATAACGACATAATTAACTTTTTACAGTTGAAAGTGTTCCTTAAAAAACTGCATCCACGGTTTTTGCTGCAGTCTTCTTAAATCATGGTAATGTGGTAGTGCATTAATAATATTTGGTTTTGAAAAACAAGAGGCCCACGGGCCTTATAGGTCACCTGAGTATCATGCAACAACTTCGCCACATTGGATTCATGTTTTAAACCAGAGGCCATGAAATTCACAATTTCGAAAGAGGCACACTTGCTCATCATAATTTTACATTTAGTAAGCTTACTTAATACCCAGAAAGAGAGCAGAGGATTATCAAAGAATTAATGCATTTTCACTATGTAATCATTAGAGCCCTGCCCTAACACCAGAACCATGATGCAGGGGCCATAAAATTCACAATTTTGGAAGAGGCATCCTTACATATCATAACAATACTCTTAGTTCATCAGCTTAATACCCAGGAGAAAAGAAGAAGATTTTCAAAGAATTATTGCATTTTTACTATGTAATCATTAGAGCCCCACCCTAACACCAGAACCCCTGACCCAGGGGCCATGAAATTCATAATTTTGGAAGAGGCACCTTTACTCATCATAACTATGCATCAGTTTGTTTGTTAAATACCCAGGATCAAAGAAAAAGATTTTTAAAGAAATAATGCATTATCACTATATATTCAACAGAGCCCCACCCTAACACCAGAACCCCTGACCTAGGGGCCATGAATTTCACAATTTTGGAACAGGCACCCTTACATATCATAATTATACTCTTAGTTCATCGGCTTATTACCCAGGAGAAAAGGAGAAGATTGTCAAAGAATTATTGCATTTTTACTATGCAATCATTAGAGCCCCGCCCTAAAACAGAACCCCTGACCAGGGGCTATGAAATTCACAACATAGGAATAGGCACCCTTATCCATCATAACTATGCCTTCAGTTTGTTTGCCCTGGATCAGAGAAGATTTTTAAAAGAAATAATGCATTTTCACTATACATGTATATTCAACAGAACGCTGCCCTAACACCAGAACCCCTGACCCTGGGGCCATGAAATTCACAATTTTGGAAGAGGCACCTTTCATCATCATAACTATGTATTTATTTTGTTTTCATAATATCCAAGAGCACAGAAGAAGCTTTTTAAAGAAATAATACATTATCACTATATATTCAACAGAGCCCCACCCTAACACCAGAACCCCTGACCCTTGGGCCAAGAAATTCACAATTTTGGAAGAGGCACTTTTTCTCATCATAACTATGTACTTAGTTCATCGGCTTAATACCCAGGAGCAGAGGAGAAGATTTTTGAATAATTAATGCATTTTCACTATATAATCATTAGATACCCGCCCTAACACCAGAACCCCTGACCCAGGGGCCATGAAATTCACAATTTTAGAAGAGACACCTTTCCTCATCATAACTATGCATATTGTTTGTTTCCTAAATACCCAAGAGCAGAGGAGAAGATTTTTTAAGAATAATGCTTTTCACTACATATTCAACAGAGCCCCACCCTAGCACCAGAACCCCTGACCCTGGGGCCATAAATTTCACAATTTAGGTAGAGGGCTCAATGCTTATTACATTCATGCCAACAGTTTGCCTGCTTGATGCCCAGGAGTAAAGAAGAAGATTTTTAAAGATTGCATTAATTCTGATGGTTTTAGCCCCACCCCTCAGGCCCCAGGGGGGTAGGGGTCATGAATTTCACAATTTTTACTCCCCTTCACATATAGATGCTATGTGCCAAATTTGGTTGAATTTGGTTCAGTGGTTCCAGAGAAGAAGCTGAAAATGTTCAAATGTTAACGCACGACGGACGACGCACGACGCACGCCGACGGACGAAAACAGATAGCAATAGGTCACCTGAGTAAACTCAGGTGACCTAAAAAATTGGAACCTAGTGCCGCCCCCCACCCCCCTCCTCCCGCCCCGACACACACATACACACCCCCCCCCCCCACACACACACACACACACACACAATAGGATTTTGGAGTTCGGATCATATCCTTTTTTTTGCTTGTCAAAATTTTTACAGGTAAGGTGTCTTTTTTATTCTGCCCCTCCCCCCCCCCCCAAACTTTCAAAAACGATACTACGTACCTGAATTTGACATTTTATATTCGGCTGGTACTTTTACTCGTGTAAGACTTCATGTTGGGGGTGGGGGGTGAGTAAAATTTAACAAACCCGTCTTACCTGATTTAGGATAGGAACTGACAAGTATATCCTCTTCTCTGGTTTGTAAATGCTGTATATCCTTTAATCGCTGTGTTGCGTCCCTTAAATAACCATCAAAAGGCGGGAGAAGCATCCCATCGGGGCATCTAGGGAGTGGCTTATACATTCTGGACTAAGAAACTAAGAAAGACCAACATTTTATTTTTTTTAACTACTTCATATACCTAAGGTTGACAAATGTACATAGCCGATAATGGTGCATATTTTACCCCATTTTATATGCACCACTTCTGTTGACAAAAAAGATAATAAATTAGACCGGAAGATGTACATTATTCAAATATAACTATTTTGTAAAGAACTTTCATCGTCAATGTTCTATGAACACTTGGAATTTTGCACGTTCTTGAATAGTCGACGAGGAAAAAATATGCCAATTCAAAGATTTCTCGTGATCTGAAGAGGTACGTGTGAAAAATTCAAGTTCAATTGTATTTTGATTTACAGTGTATTTAAAATATAGCAATGTTTTTTCCCAATTATTTGCAAGATGGCTCGAAATAGGGTACACAATTTGGTCCATAGTTAGGCCTATAAAAATGTATCTCTCTAAACATATTCATTCAAACTATTTTTGGGACCGTTATATGTATGTCTACGACAAACAATTTTCTTATACTTGTATATATACATGTAAAAGGTCATAACAATGTTTCTAAAATGTATAAATCTAACGTATTGAACATTATAATAAAAAACATAGGTAATCAAAGATTACGAAGCTCACCTCGACGAATGTTATCTATAAGTAATGCAAATTTCACATCATATTTTTTTTCCAGTTAGTGTACATCCAAAGATCAATATCCATGCAAGTTTGATTTAAGTAGGACTTATAGTTACTTGGAAATAGACCTGCTCAAAAACTTTTAACCTGTTTACTAATCAAGAAAATTTTGGTCAGTTCCAAAATCCAAAGCAAGTCTAGAAGTTTTCATCCTTAGATGCACCATCTATGCAAAGTTTATCATAACAGGCCATAATATTATATAGCTACTCCAAAAAATTATCTTGGTCACTCATCTGGAAAATGTAAGTCAGATTCAGAATTCAGAGAAAGTCTGGAAGTATCCAGCCCTAGATACATCATCCATGCTAATTTGGTTAAAATATGGCTAAAATTCACTCATGTGGAAAATCTAGGTCGGATCCAGCATCCGAAGCAGGTGAGTTACTGTACATCTCAAGATGCATCATCTATGCAAGTTTGGTCCAGGTATGACTTACAGTTACTTGGGAATGGACCTGCTCCAAAATCTTTAACCTGGTCACTCATGTGGAAAATCTAGGTCGGATCCAGCATCCCAATCAAGTGTGGTAGTGTCCATCCCTGGATGCATCATCCATGCATGTTTGGTCTAGGTAGGGCTTATAGTTACTTGGGAATGGACCTGCTCCCAAAACTTTAACCTGGTCACTCATCTGGAAAATCTAGGTCAGATCCAGCATCCGAAGCAAGTTGGTAGTGTCCATTTCTAGATGCATCATTCATGTAAATTTGGTCCAGGTAGGGCTTATAGTTACTTAGGAATAGACCTGCTCCCAAACCTTTAATCTGATCACTCATCTTGAAAATCTAGGTCAGATCCAGCATCTGAAGCAAGTGTGGTAGTGTCCATCCCTAGATGCATCATCCATGCAAGTTTGGTCCAAGTAGGGCTTATAGTTACTTGGGAACAGACCTGCTCCAAAAACTTTAACATGGTCACTCATGTGGAAAATCTAGGTCAGATCCAGCATCCGAATCAAGTATGAAAGTGTCCATCCCTAGATGCATCATTCTTGCAAGTTTGGTCTAGGTAGGGCTTATAGTTACTTGGATATGGACCTGCTCCCAAAACTTTAACGTGCTCACACATCTGGAAAATCTAGGTCAGATCCAGCATCCGAAGCAAGTGTGGTAGTGTCCATCTCTAGATGCATCATCCATGCAAGTTTGGTCCAGGTAGGGCTTATAGTTACTTAGGAATAGACCTGCACCAAAACCTTTAACCTGGTCACTCATCTGGAAAATCTATGCAGATCCAGCATCCGAAGCAAGTTGGTAGTGTCCATTTCTAGATGCATCATCCATGCAAGTTTGGTCCAGGTAGGGCTTATAGTTACTTAAGAATAGACCTGCTCCCAAACCTTTAACCTGATCACTCATCTTGAAAATCTAGGTCAGATCCAGCATCCGAAGCAAGTGTGGTAATGTCCATCCCTAGATGCATCATCCATGCAAATTTGGTCCAAGTAGGGCTTATAGTTACTAGGAAACAGCATGTAAATCAGGGAAAAAGTCTTTAAACCTCTCCTTCATTATAACAACTATATAGGCAATTTTATTGAAGCCATCGCATGTTATGTGAATCCAGAGCTTAGTCAAATCATAACATGTTGGGGCTAGGTTTGATCGAGCCAAAGTTGGGTCAGTTTTTTCATGGGAATAAAAAAAATGGAAAAATCTTTTTCAAAGTGTTCTTTTGAACAAACTTTCACGGTAGCTCATTTGATGGAGCGCTCCGTGATCGGAAGGTCGAACCCCGGCCGCGACTGACATAAGTTGATAAAAAATAGGTAGCAACTGTTCCTTCGCCAAGTGTTCGGCACTTTGAAGTGAAAGTTGCGGATCCTTCGGATGAGACTTTAAAAACCGATGGCTCAATCAAACCTAGCCCCAACATGTTATGATTTGACTAAGCTCTGGATTCACATAACATGCGATGGCTTCAATAAAATTGCCTATATAGTTGTTATAACGAAGGAGAGGTTTAGACTTTTTCCCCGATTTATGTGCATTTTAAAAAATCTATTTTATGATTGTAGTCATTTTTTTTTTCAAAACTTGAATCCAAACAACTTGGAAATGTTTGCAAATTAATATGATTTAATGTGGCTCTGCTACCCCTGTAAACATATATTTTTTTTTTAATATGATATAGATGTATTTGATCCCCCCTTTTTTGTTGCTCCATCCTACCCGTGGGGTAATGATTTGAACAAAATTAAATCTGCACTTTATACATGTATTAGGGGGCGTGCATATCAATATCACTAAATTTGGCCCTGCAGCTCCTGAGAGGAAAATTTTTAAAGATTGATTTTTTCTACACATGATCCCCTACATTGTGACCAACCTTAGTTACCCTGGGGCCATGGTTTAGAACAAAGGATATTCATATACTATCTAAGCATGCTTTTTTGGCAAGTTTGATTGAAATTGGCCCATGCAGTGGTTCTGCATTGAGATGTAAAAAGGTATCAAATGAACGGATAGACATACAGACAACAGACAACATTTGAACAGAAAAGGTCACTTTGAACATTTCCATCAGGCGAGCTAAAAATATCGGGGGGGGGGGGGGGGGGGGGGGTCTGGACTTCCCCCTGGATTTTGCAGAGGTATTAAAATATATGATGAAGCAAATTAAAAATGACTTTGGACCCCTTCTAGAACAAGAGGCCCAAGGGCCACATCGCTCACCTGAGTACTATGGCTAGGAAAAAGCAGAAATCAGTTCAGTCTTGAAAGGTTGAAAAGTTTAAATATAAAAGTGGTTTGGGGGGGGGGGGGGGGTGTCATGAATTGAACAAATTTGAATCTACATTATCTGAGGATGCTTCCATTTAAATATGACCAATCATGGCTTTACTGTTCTTGAGAAGAAGATTTTTAAAGATTTTTCCCATATATTCATATGTAAAACTTTGATCGCCCATTGTGGCCCCACCCGACCCCCAGGGGTCATGTTTGAACATACTTGAATGTACACTATCTAAGAATGCTTCCATATAAATATGACTAATCATGGCTTTGCTGTTCTTAAGAAATAGTTTTTTTTAAAGATTTTTACTATGTGTTCCTATGTAAAACTTTGATCGCCCATTGTGGCCCAACCCACCGCCGGGGGTCATGATTTGAACAAATTTGAATGTACACTATCTGAGGATGCTTCCATGTCAATATGATCAATCATGGCTTTGCTGTTCTTGAGAAGAAGATTTTTAAAGATTTTTCCTATGTATTCCTATGTAAAACTTTGATCGCCCATTGTGGCCCCACCCGACCCCCGGGGGTCATGATTTGAACAAACTTGAATCTACACTACCTAAGGATGCTTTCATGTAAATATGACCAATCATGTCTTTGCTGTTCTTGAGAAGAAGATTTTTAAAGAGTTTTCCTATATATTCCTATGTAAAACTTTGATCGCCCATTGTGGCCCCACCCAACTCCCGGGGGTCATTATTTGAACAAACTTGAATTTACACTACCTGAGGATGCTTCCTCATAAGTTTCACATTTTCAAGCAAAGTGGTTCTTGAGAAGAAGATTTTTTAATGATGCCATTAATTTTTCACAAATTCTTAATTATCTCCCCTTGGAAGAAGGCTCGGCCCTTTATTTGAACAAACTTGAATCCCCTTTACCCAAGGATACTTTGTGGCAAGTTTCGTTGAAAATGGCTCAGTGGTTCTGGAGAAGAAGTGGAAAATGTGAAAAGTTTACAGACGGACAGACTGACTACAGACAAAATGTGATCAGAAAAGCTCACTTGAGCCTTCGGCTCAGGTGAGCTAAAAAGTGGACCCTACCATCACCACCACGAAATAGATGTTTTTTTTCAAGTTTGGGAAATGGATTTCCTTTCTTTTTTTTAAATTTCTTTTTTATTTTGCTTGTCAAGAAAGGAATTTAGGGGTTTTTTTCATGTCAATAAAATTTTGGGTTGGAAATTTGTTTTTGACTTGGATGGAACCCCCCCCCCCCCCAGCTCGGAAAAAAAATCCTGGATCCGCGCCTGTATACATCACTAGTACAAATCACTCGAGTGACACATCATGCAAGCATCACCAGTACAAAATCTCGGAGAAAGTCCAAGCAGTGAAATACATTAATTCTCCCTTGTAACCTGTCGCCCCCTGTTTGCCCAAAAATATGTAGGTCTGCTTGTTTCCTCAAGTGTATCATTCCAATAGAAGTTGTAAATATAATCATTTACAACAGTTACTGCATACTTGTACTTGCATGATGTGTCACTTCAATAGACTGATATGTTTGATAATTGGTTTAGTTCAGTTATTATGTCCTTGTTTACATACCTGTTAAGCTGTTTAGTATTCTTCACCCAAGAAATTGCTTAAAATAAGTCAACTGACACCTACATATTGGTTATGTAGTTCACGGATGGAACGCCATTACTGTCATCATCAGATTGTAACTTATTTCATTCCATAGATGCTTGTTCCTTGAACCTATGAGTCGAATAAATCTTACAATATAATGATAATTTTCTCTTGCTATTTTTCGCAGACAGAAGAAGAAGAATTTTTTTTAATGGGGTCGGGATATGACCAAGGCTGTTTTTAATCGGGTTTGATGAACACGAAATTTGAAAAAGAAAGAGAAGTCGCTCCAGTCCATGTGATCACAGTGATGTTGTTGACAGCTTGACTATTTTGTAAAAAATGAAGGTTTTGGAATTGTACAGTGGAATAGGTGGAATGCATTGCGCTTTAAAAGGTAAACGATTAGTCATTCGTCATGTACAATGTAATATGTCCGACGGTGAAACCGTTAGGGCAAGTAGTTTCATTTTTTGTAAATAGTCTGATAATGAAAGAATTCAGCAATTCTCTAAACCTCTCTAATTTCGTTTTGCATGCTCTTAATGACGATGAAATTTTCAGTAAATTCCTGAAACCTGGGGTTACTGTTTCTCGTAAGGTCATTAATATGTCGACGGTGCGATTGTTAGGGCGAGCGCGTATACCTTTTTCCATGTTTTCAGTGTACTGTTTGAAAACTGTATTTAGACCCGTCTCTTCAAACCGCACGTGACATTTGGTACGTATAGACTCTGACGTCCATGACGTTGTATTTAGGTTGCATTATTGAACCAAAGCCTGAATAGTGTTGGTTAATGAAAAATGTTTTGTTTACTATTTTATCTGCAATATATCCATTAAATCAAGGTGAGTTTTTTTATGCTGAACTTTTGTTGTTATTCTCGCAAGAACATAGCTTTAACAAGTGATGCATTGTGGGTCCAGAATTCCTGTAGAAAAAAATTCATTTGGATCAATGTGCAAAGTCCGAATTTTCTCCTTGCCCAGGTGTTACTTTAAGAGCTCACAGTGACGAGCGGTGCTTTGTGCCACTCGCTGCGCTCACTATTTAGATAAAAAGTCCATTCATTATAATTCTAGACAGTGGTATACCTCACAAGGTAGTAGCAGCCATCGATGTGAATACAACTGCAAACAAGATTTACAAACACAACTTTCCTGGAACCAAGTTAATGGATTGTGGAATAGAGGTGAGATGCTTTTATGTTTTCCTTATAAAGATTAATATGTTTTACGGTGCCACCGCTGGGGTGAGCACAGTTGTAATATATTACCATAAAAAAACTTTAACTTGTATCATTGCTGCGGCATTTTTTCTTTGATGTCCACTGCGTTTTTATTTTTGATACACCATGACTAACTGTGCTCTAACAACCATGCTCTATCAAGAAAGAACATGCCAGGGTAATGATGCAACAATTCCAATGACCCTTGACCTTACATTAATATAGAAAAAGAATATAAACAAAGTAGCTGACTTTATAAGCAAAATACGAACACATATAAACAAAGTGAAGGTATACCTTTCCTTATGTCTACATAAAACATTCTAAATTTTGCACGTCAATTTTTAAATCCAAAATGGAATTCACACACGCACATTTTTATAAATGAACATTTTCATCTCTCATAAACTTAAAGCGTACCACACCAATGTAGTACAGGGAGCGAGGTGGATATTGCTTGTTTTCTTATTCCAACACAAATCGCTGCATCCAGTAATTTAAACAGAGAATCGCTGTTCATCTCGGACAAAAGTGGACATTTTCCTGTGCCACACGCTACTCCTTGATTAATAGCCTGAACATTTAAATTTGCCATTTGGTATATTTACGAGTGTTGATATTTTTTAGAGTCTATCAAATGCTGAATTTCATGATCGGACACTTGTACAAACCTTTCATTTTTCGCCTTCGTGTCGACCTTGGGACTGGTGAAATTAACGCCATCATGTCTAAAATAGCTCTTATATCGAAATCCATAATAGGTTCAAACGTAGATCAAACGTCATACTTCCCAAAGAATCTTCAACCTGCATCTGGTTTCCTAACTGATCTAAGGAATATTCCTTCATAATTTTTGTTTCCGTGTCTATAAGAATTGCGCAAGCATAAAATCACAACCGTCATCCATGGCATTCAAAATATGAATGGACGAGGTAGAAAGTTCAAGAAATACAGCGCGCTATACTTTTCGAATCATGTGCTCTTTTTTCATTGGTTATATAAAATGGTATGATGAAATTTTGATAGATCATGGCTAATTCAGTGCATGAGAATATAGTTGAATTACGTGCTATTAACATGAAATTGATAGATCATGGGTAACTCAGTGCATGAGAACAATGATACAAAACATATAGAGTACCTTTTAACTCTATATATTACATAGCTTATGCTTCAAACTTTGATCTGCCTCTTCAAACTTCAAACCACACGAGACAGTCTAGATTTTAATTGACATATCACATGACGTTGTATGTAAGTTGCATTTCTGTAACTGAATCTAAATAGACATTTTGCAATTTAACGAAAGGCATAGTAAATGCAATTATTTTTTTGTTTCATTTAAAATCTCTGGAAAAACTAAACCTTAATATATGATCATGGTGGGACTGTTTATTCGCCATTATCGCATGGAATCCTGCTAGCGAATGAATTTTGGGAGGGTTTCACAGAAAAATTTGTTTGCCGAATATACAGATTTTAATTTGAATTTTCTCTGTTCTTGCACGTTAGTCTATTGAGCTCGCTTTGCAAGCAATGTTCGCTATAAGATTCGAAGAACAAAGTTTCATGTCCACATTAGATTAATGCCTCATATGAATTACAAGTGAGATAAGGTTAGAAATTATTTATCTCTCACAGCCATAGCTGCTTAAAACTGTAGCTGCATTGAAATTTAAAATTCAAGGCTTTATTGCATATATTATTTAATATATCTGACGGTAAAATCATTAGGCCTTAAGGCAAGTGCAGTTTCATTTTTCAAATAATAAATGAATTCTACACTTCACAAATGTTGTTTTGAATGCCACTAACTGATGATACATCTGTAGTCTGCACTATTTACTGTTTTTTAACGATATTCACTGACTTAGATTATCTAAAGAAATAGCAGACTCAATATGCATTGGAATCGAGATTACGAAACTTCTGAAATATTGCTGACAAATTCATTAATACTTAGCCATGTAAGTGATGGAAGCATGATGTCATATGCAAAATCCCAAAATTATGTTTAGTGAGGATGCAAACTATAGTTTGTGGCATGGAAATATTGCTTTAAAACCTTTTTTGTAATTGTTTTTATAAAGTAATTTGTTGCTATGCTTTATCCACCATGTTGCTATGCACTGCAAAGAATTGTTGAGAGTTTAGAATTTTTTCAAGTGGACTCATTAAAATTTCTTTGAATAATATGTAGATTTCAACCTGAATTTTGTCTGTTCTTACATATTAATCTAGTGAGCTTCACGCCACTCGCTATTACTGTGTGGAATTATTTTTAAAAAGATTTGGAAATTTTGCAACATAAAACTTAAAACAAAATACAGTTGAACTTCAGTGTCTCGAACATGGATATCTCGAATACCATGGATATTTGAAAGTTATTTTGAAGTCCCAACTACTTATTCCTTAAGTGTTTTACCCAGGATATCTTGAATCCTCGATTATTGAAGGATTTTCTTGGTCCCTTCGAGTTCGAGATAACGAGGTTTGACTGTGTTTGTAGTATGTATTTAATAAATTTTTGATTACATTTACTTCAGTCACTAACTGCCAGAAAGCTTGATGAGATGAAGATCAACATGATTTTGATGAGTCCTCCATGTCAACCATTCACTAGAGTTGGTAAGAAACTGGATGCTGAAGACATTAGAACCAGCTCATTCCTTCATCTGTTGTCCTTACTTCCAAGGTATCACTGGCTATGTTAATTACAAAGTTTAGTTTTACCTGTGTTCATATTTCATAATATAACTTATAATGTACATCACAGAAATATACCATAAACAACCTCCCTCTATAATGAGAACATGTATATTAATTTTGAACAATGCACTGCAATAACAGTAGTTTCTTTTCTGGATAAATCTAATTTTATGTGGAAAATTGTCGTAGAAATCAGTTTTCTTAATATTAATGTGGCAATCAGGCGGGTTTGATCCCAGGTGGCCAGATAGCTTGGTAGAGCACCTGACTGGAGATTCAGGGGGCCCAGGTTCGAATCCTGGTCTGGTCCCTTGCATTTTTCTCCTCTTGCATTATATTTGGTGCTGTGCCATGCCCTGGAAGTGATAGTTGAAAGACCTGCCAGGGAAGGGCCTGGGTTAGTGTCTTCAGGGGCCAAATAGCAGTTAGGCAGGTTTGATCACCGGTGGTCAGATAGCTCAGTTGGTAGAGCACCTGACTAGAGATTCAGGGGGCCCAGGTTTGAATCCCAGTCTGGTCTATCGCATTTTTCTCATCTCCCATTATATTATAATAGGTACTAAATTCAAATTTTTTAATGTAGGTTAAACAACTGCCCAAAGTACATCCTTGTTGAAAATGTGAAAGGCTTTGAAGAATCTGACACTTGCCTGAAGTTACGTGAAACATTAAGGGAATGCAACTTTGCATATCAGGTACTGTAGATTCCTAAATATACGCGAGGAATTAATTATTGTGTAATTACGTGAGAAGCGCCACTCACGAAATAAAATTACTCGCTTTTATTTTTATGGTGCTGAAATCAATGTAAAATCTCTCGATCAGCCATTCACTGGCAAATTAATGTTCTCGCGATTTGACGTCAACGAGTCATTTGGCGAAAATAAGTACTCGCGAAAAATAAGGAATCTACAGTATTTAATTTTCTTGAGAAAATGTTCCTGACATTCAGCTATGTATTATTTCTCATTTATCTGATTTTAAACCATCATTTGTTGTTAATCATTACATGTGAATTCAATACAGGAGTTTATGCTTTCACCACTCCAGTTTGACATTCCCAATTCGAGACTACGGTATTACCTCATAGCTAAAAGAGCACCTTTAAAGTTTTCTTTTGAAACTTCAGCAGAGGTATTTTGTTTTGATTTTTTATGTTGCAGCCTTTACTTTTTGTAATTACTTTACAGCATGTTTAAAATAATATCAAATGATTAATTGAAGACTTGCTTTTAAAGATTTTGACTTTTCTGCCAGAGGAAAATCACTTGAAATATGTGCCAGGAAAAAGTGAGGAAGGTCAGTTTTCCACAATGTATATCGCCTGTGATACATCACAAAACAATGTTTCTGATAAAGATGAAAGTAAATATGAGTGTACAACCAAAAATACTGACCTAGAACAATCTAACAAAGCAGAGGAAAAACATACAAAAAACTTGCTGCATGGTACTTCTCAGGGAAATAGTGCTGCAAAATGTCCAATCTGCAGGGAGCAGTGTCTACAGACAATGGGGCACAACATGAGACAGATAACAGAAGACGACTCCGATCATTATCCCAACTGCTGTCCTGTGTTGAATTTCCTAGAGGACAAACCCCCAGACTTTTTTGATTCCTTTTTGTTGACCAAGAAAGAGCTGAAGAGGTTTCTTGTCATGGACATTGTTTTCCCATGTTTGAAAAAGACAACATGCTTCACTAAAAGGTTAGATGTTTTCTAAAAAATATTGGATGTCTTGGATTATATTTCTTTCTTTTTTCAGTCATTATGTTTTTGTTATCATTAATTCTAGATATGGTCATTTTATGGAAGGGGCGGGGTCCATTTTCCAAATGTCTCAGAATATTTATGTAAGTAATTATATTGCTGATAATTATTCAAACCATGCCTCTGTTTGAATTTTACAAGTGGATACCTAGAAAATGACAAATTTAATTCTTTTCTTTGTGGCGGTAAGATACTTAATGAATTTCGATATCAGATGATATGTATTGAATTGTATTGGTAAATTTATTTATGATAGATAAAATGACTTCCTTATCAATAATACTGATACAAATGTAATCAGATGATATAAACAGAAAAAAATATATTTTTGTGCATGCTATGACTAAGGAATCTGGATATGGCGAAGTAGTTCACTATCACACCATGGAGCATCGACTAAAGAGTCAATGACGCGATGATGAGATATCACAATGACATTGATACAATGGCGCAACAATGCGATGACAGTTGTGTGATAGCATGATGTAGCAGTAGTGAACATCACTTCCTAGTCATAGTACCATCCTCATCGAACCATCTTGTTACTGCTATCGCACAATTGTGCTATCACTTCATTGTGCCGTCGCATCATCATCATCACATTGTCACTCCATCGCATTATCGTTATCATGCTATCGCACCATTGCTCATCGCACTATCAACCCAAACCTCGATGGTGCAATAATGTGATAGTGAACTATGTGGCCCTTTCCAAATTCCATAACAATTAAAGATAAACACTGTGAATAAGAATTTCAACCAAATTAAATAAGCATTAATTACAGTTTCATGGAAACCAATCAGATACATGTATATATTATTCTCACAAGTTAAACCTTCAATGAATAAAATAAAACACCGTAGTATGAAAATTTTTGTTGTATACTAGAATATGAAAGAAGCCAGTGAATTAAAAGATAGAACTCAAGAACTGAAGAACAGAGCTGATTGGACAGATGAGGATTATGAGGTGTTGTCAAGGTTACGACTGCGTTACTTCACTCCCAGAGAGATAGCCAACTTCCTGTGCTTTCCATCTACTTATGGTAAGTTAATGGTGGAAATTAACCATTTATTGCCAAATTAATTACCAGGACCATTGACTCTTTTGTAGCATATTACCTATCCATCAACTAAATAACTAGATTTTTAGGTCAAGGGAGCTTTTCTGATCACATTTTGTCCAGCATCTGTCTGTTCATCCATATAGCTGTCTCTTCATCCATCCATCTGTAAACTTTTCCCTTTTTTGTCTTCTCAAGAACCACATGGCCAATTTCCACAAAACTTGCTGCAGAGCATCATCGAGAGATTATCATAAATTAGTGGAAAAAATGGCACCATAAAGAAATCTGCTGGTGAATTTCAAGAACAACTGGGCCAGAGAAGATGAAACATGTGAAAGCTTATTTACATTATGTAGATAATTTGTTCAAATCATAACTCATGGGGTAAGGACAAAGCCACCATAAGATTATTTTTGTTTGGTATACTCCTACTCATATTTTTTTCAAGGTGAGTAGGTAGGTAGCAGCATAAGTACCTTTATTATATAGTCTATAAATAGCCCCTATATAATCTATACAAATGCAAACAGTTCATAACACTACATATTCACCGGATTTGAAGCCGTATTCATCTGAGGGTCAGTGCGCATGCAGTGGCATTGTGACATCACAATCAATACCTCAAACAACATTGAGCACAATGGTTGCAACGGTCGGAGTTAGCTGAATATTTGAACAGGAAAAATTGTTTCGCAAGTCTATGGCAGGATTATTTTCTTAACATTTCGATGTCTTACACACAGGAAAGGAAAATACAGAAGATATAGGTTGTAATCTGGACATTTGATTATTTTTCTAAGACAGAAGTTCGTTAATGAAAATAGAATCGTCAGGCAGCCTTCAATGTCTTATTCAATCAAATTCTGACTATATAATAAAACAATTATGCACTCTTTTGATGGTGAATATGGTTTGTTATTCACCAGAAAAATATCAATATTGATCTCGGCTTCGCCTCGGTCAATATTGATATTTTTCTGGTGAATAACAAACCATATTCACCATCAAAAGAGTACATAATTGTATAGTAGCTGGTGTTACAACGTTTATTTATGTGTTAATTTTAATAAAAGACTGATTTTTCTTTCCATTGTAGATTTTCCTACGGATTTATCTCGAATTCAGCTGTATAGGACTTTAGGTAATAGTCTGAATGTCCATGTGGTATCTGCTCTTATACAATTAATGGTTAAAAATCCAGAATAATGAAAACAATGGAATTCTGAAACCAGATCCACTCATTATGTACAATATGATACATAGAACATTTTAACTCTGGAAGAGAAAAAATCTTCAGATTTATTACAAAATCATAAGAAATAAACATATTTTTAGTTACATGTACAAGATCAAAATATGTTTAACTGTAAATTAAACAGTAAATTCTGAAAATGCCTTGTTTGTCTGTGAATTACTACCATAAATGAATAATGTGATAATTATGTACCAATTTTCAGTTTTTAATGCTTAACCGTTAATTCAGTCTAATTAGGACCCATTGTTTGGCTAGCGCAATCAATTATCTTCTAGATCTCGATGGACACATGAATGAAAAATTCACACTTCACGATAATTACAAATGAAATTTTTAATATCAATTAATTATGTTCCCCAAACGAAGTTTGGGAACATATTGTTTTTACTCTGTTTCTTATTATTATTATTAAGGTCTTCCGTCTTCACGGAAGACCTTATAGTGATTCTACTGTTTCTTATTATTATTAAGGTCTTCCGTCTTCACGGAAGACCTTATAGTGATTCTACTGTTTCTTATTAAGGTCTTCCGTCTCCACGGAAGACCTTATAGTGATTCTATTGTTTCTTATTAAGGTCTTCCGTCTCCACGGAAGACCTTATAGTGATTCTATTGTTTCTTATTATTATTATTATTATTATTATTATTATTCTTTTTTTTTTAGACAAAATTTTGTGCACGTGATTTCTCGAAAATTATTCAATGAATTTCTTTGAAATTTTCAGGGATAAAAGGTCTTTATATGAATTTTATATAAAATTCCGTTTTTTGGTAAATTCGGTTCCAGTGCCAAGTTATTGACAATTTCCTGATTTTAAAATGAAATTTTGTCCTCGAAGGATCTAAGAAACGGCTAAAGATATGAACTGGAGACTTGTTAGAGATGATAGACCATGACTTCTAGATGTTCGAAATTACCTTGGTTTTCGTCGTCAGTACTTCCGGTCGTCACCGGAAGTGTTCAAAGAAATCGTTAAATTTCAACTTTTCTTTTTTTAATCAAATCTTGCATCACATTATTGCAACTCTTTCGCAGTTTCGAAATATGTTGGTCCCACCGGAAACAAAAACGACAACTTCCGGTTATAAGAGAAAAACTACATATTTTGAGTATTTTACTTTCCCATAAATATCTTTCATAGGTAAAGTATTTGAAATGATTTTTACATATGTTATATAGATTGCAAATGTCTAGAGTTACGTCAAATATCTTTGCAAAATTCACTTCCGGTCGCGTGTTTTTCTGTCCTCAAAGTGAGAAAATATCTGAGCGAGATCTTAGAAACGGTAAGAGATTAAGACAACAAACTTATTTGAGTAGTAGACCTTGAAGAGTAGGCAAAATTATTTAGGTTAAACTGTCAGCCGTCACTTCCGGTCGTCACAGGAAGTGATCAAAGAAATCAAAATATTCAACTTTTCTTGTTTAAATTGAAACTTGCATCACCTTATTACATCTCTTTCGCTGTTTTGAAATATGTTAGACTCCTCCGGAAACAAAAACGTTAACTTCCGGTTTTAGGAGATAAAATACGTTATTTCGATATTCAACTTTCTCATAAATATCGCTTATAGAAAAGGATTGAAATGTTTTAATACATGTTGTAGATACTGCAATGTCTAAAGACACACTAGAGATTTTTTATAAAATTCACTTCCGGTCGCGTGTTTTCCTGTCCTCAAAATTAGAATTTGTTCTCACAATTGCTCGGCAACAATGAATGACTGAAGTCTGAAACTTTCAGGACTGATAGTCCGTCATCAGTTTATTTGCATCGTATGAAAATCGTGTGTCGCGTTACTTCCGGTGGTGACAGGAAGTGATGCAAAAAAGTGAATGGTTAATGGTTAGCACGTTGGATTTTCACGCCGACGACCAGGGTTAAATCTCCAGAGTGTCTGAATTTGTTTTATCACTTTTTCAGCTTGAATTTTCGTTTTTATTTTCAGAATCGGACGGAAGACCTCTCATTGCTCGCAATGAGTTTCTAGTTAAGGTCTTCCGTCTTCACGGAAGACCTTATAGTGATTCTACTGTTTCTTATTATTAAGGTCTTCCGTCTTCACGGAAGACCTTATAGTGATTCTACTGTTTCTTATTATTAAGGTCTTCCGTCTTCACGGAAGACCTTATAGTGATTCTACTGTTTCTTATTATTATTATTATTATTATTATTTTTTTCCCCAAAATTTTGTGCAGGCGATTTCTCGAAAACTATTCAGTGGTTTTAAATGAAACTTTCAGGAATTATGCGTCGTTAAATGAACTTTGTTCATCAGAAGGAAAATTTGGAAATCTCGCTTCTGGTGCCAAGTTATTGACAGTTTTCTGATTTTAAAATGAAATTTTGTCCCCCCTTTTTTTCAAAAATGGTTTAAGATATGAACTGGAGACTTGTTAGAGATGATAGGTTATGTCTTCTAGATGAGGGGAATCACCTTTTTGTGCGTCGTCAATACTTCCGGTCGTTACCGGATGCGAATTTAAAAAAGTCGTATTTTTAAACTTTTTTGTTTTTCTATATTTTTCTTTTATTTTAATAAGGTTAATAGAGACTCTTCTGAAAATGCTTTATATATAATTTATTTTAGAATTGATCAATCCAAACTCTGGATATTCGCATTTCTAAATTTGAAGCGGGTCCAAAATGGCGGCTGTCTCTGTAAACTCCGATAAGTAGGTCAGAATTTACGGAGTCAGCCGAGCGTTTGTTTGAATGAAAGTACCATAAGGATCAAAGAAATGTGAAGGAAATGTTGGATTGTCACATCACAATTACGTTGCAATTCTGTTTCGCAATAGAGTTTTAATCCGGGGTTTCCTCAAACGTCTACTATAATTTTTCTTGTTTGTATCTCAAAGTAGAAAAACGACATGGCTACAAGTGGAAATACAATAACTACAACCTTTTGTTTTACACCACGGAAAAACTGATCCTAAACCATGGTTATAAGTAAAAGCTTTTCAAGAAACTTGCCTGACTAAAGCAATCAATATATAGTAATTATTACGTGGCCATTGTTTTTTCCCCATGCAGGCTTGTGTCATATTAAATGAACAGAAAAGACAGAAATAAGAAAACCATTTTTTTAAAGATTGTTTAATGAAAATGATTTAAATATATTTTTTCTAAAAGATGTTGTTATTGAACATAAATGGTATCAGATTCCCTGACCGTCGCAGGACGAGACATGTTTTTGGGCGAAACATTCCAGTCTTCCCATGAATGTGTAACTAATCGGGATAGTCAACTTTGGGGGTAAACAGGAAAATAAAACTTGTAGAAAATCTTACCTAAATTACTGCTTCAGTGTTACTTATCCATACGATATATAATAAGTACAATATGATAAATATACTTTCTCAAGTTCGATATTCAGGTTATAAGAACATACATTTTGAAATTTCATTGAAGCCATCACCATTCAATAGAAAATACATTCCGAAGGATATGCGCGAATATTTACCCGTGACGTTTCGCGCGAAATAATGTATCGTGATCAACCTTTCGTAGTAGACAAATGGTCTGATGCAGAAGTATATAGAAGTGCAGAAAAAGATTACATGGACATGCAGGTATATGGAATTACATGAAATAAAAAGTTGAATACATAAAGAATAAAAGAAAGTATACAGTATCATCAGAGAATGGCTAAAGATATGAATATGAAACTTGCTGAGGTGATAGAGCATCAAATGTAGATATATTGATCGACAATTAATTTTCGTCGTTCTTACTTCCGGTCGCAAACGGAAGTGAATTCAAAAATGTTAAATTTGCAAACTGTTTTGTTTTTCAGTATTTTTCTTTGGGATTTACAGGGTTAATAGAGAGTCTTTTAGGAGTTTTATGTATGTTTTCATCTTTTTGATTGAAAAAGTTTGCAGATATTTTTATAAAATTCACTTCCTGTCGAGTGATTACCTGTCCTCAAAATTAGAATTTGTTCTCACAATATTGCTTGGCAACAGTAAACGACTGAAGTCTAAAACTTTCAGGTCTGATAGTCAGTCATTAGTTTATTTGAATCGTGAGAAAATCTTGTATCGCCGTTACTTCCGGTCGTGACAGGAAGTGATGCAGAAAAGTGAATGGTTAATGGTTAGCTTTCTTGGATTTTCACGCTGAATTTCTTTTATCACTTTTTCAGAGTGAATATTTGCTTTTATTTTCAGAATCGGACGGAAGACCTCTCATTGCTCGCAATGAGTTTCTAGTTATTATTATTATTATTATTTTTTTCCCCAAAATTTTGTGCAGGCGATTTCTCGAAAACTATTCAGTGGTTTTAAATGAAACTTTCAGGAATTATGCGTCGTTAAATGAACTTTGTTCATCAGAAGGAAAATTTGGAAAACTCGCTTCTGGTGCCAAGTTATTGACAGTTTTCTGATTTTAAAATGAAATTTTGTCCCCCCTTTTTTTCAAAAATGGTTTAAGATATGAACTGGAGACTTGTTAGAGATGATAGGTTATGTCTTCTAGATGAGGGGAATCACCTTTTTGTGCGTCGTCAATACTTCCGGTCGTTACCGGATGCGAATTTAAAAAAGTCGTATTTTTAAACTTTTTTGTTTTTCTATATTTTTCTTTTATTTTAATAAGGTTAATAGAGACTCTTCTGAAAATGCTTTATATATAATTTATTTTAGAATTGATCAATCCAAACTCTGGATATTCGCATTTCTAAATTTGAAGCGGGTCCAAAATGGCGGCTGTCTCTGTAAACTCCGATAAGTAGGTCAGAATTTACGGAGTCAGCCGAGCGTTTGTTTGAATGAAAGTACCATAAGGATCAAAGAAATGTGAAGGAAATGTTGGATTGTCACATCACAATTACGTTGCAATTCTGTTTCGCAATAGAGTTTTAATCCGGGGTTTCCTCAAACGTCTACTATAATTTTTCTTGTTTGTATCTCAAAGTAGAAAAACGACATGGCTACAAGTGGAAATACAATAACTACAACCTTTTGTTTTACACCACGGAAAAACTGATCCTAAACCATGGTTATAAGTAAAAGCTTTTCAAGAAACTTGCCTGACTAAAGCAATCAATATATAGTAATTATTACGTGGCCATTGTTTTTTCCCCATGCAGGCTTGTGTCATATTAAATGAACAGAAAAGACAGAAAT